GAGTATGCAGATCGACCGGGAGAATAACCGGCCGATGGAGATTGAGGTGATTGTGGGTACGCCGGTGCGTAAGGGGCGGGAGTTGGGGGTTCCTACGCCGGTGTTGGAGACACTGTATGTACTGTTGCGGGCTGTTGATGGGGAGATGCGTCGGGTGCAGAAGATTTGAGAGATGAACTTTCGGTAGTCTGTGGATAGAGCTAGACGAGTAGATTCCTACAAAGTAGAGGTTTCTCATGGCTATAGTTGATGTATACGCCTACATATTCAAATATCCTTCTCGATAAGGTATTTAGTATACATTCATGCTCTCCCTGTCATTTATCAACTGGAATTTCAACCCAGTCATTTCATTCATCTGGGATACATTCACTACTTATAATCTTACTGTTCACTCTCCAAATTAGTCTTCTCGTATTCACACTACGTCTAGCAGTCATATGAAGCTCCCTTCTCCTCCGTTCACGTCTTCTTTCCCTTTCATTGTACTCGGCCATCAAAGAATATTCTGTTAGATCCAAAAGACCAGACAATATGAATTGTCTCAGAAGAATATTAGTTCAATATTATACTACACTTGTACTTCATATATCTTTTCCTCAAAATCCTTAACTGTCCGGAGAACAGTTGAAAAATGTCTCTACTAACATCACAGCCAGCACACAGTCGAGAATAAAACTACCTTGATTGTTCTGTGCTCCGCACTTATCAACCCAGCCACTGTGCTTCCTTTCCATGATCCGCTGCGCATATAACTGATCTTCTACAAAGGGGGCTAGTCATCAAACAATCCTATGACATAATCTAGCTCTCTTTTGATTATGATGGGAAGTCAATATTATTGAAATCTATTTTTTTGAGGTAGAACAAGTCCATTGGTTGAATTATATCCTAAAAGTGACCATGTCAGAAGATACCAGGTACAAACCTGATATCGAGACCTACATCTGATACAATCCACAATACAATCCTACATTAATAGGCTATACTACTTTAGTTCTGTCTCGTCATGACCCATTCGAACAAGTGGCTATCCACATCGTCACTCCATAACCCTCTGCCACCTTGGGGCATTCCCAAAAGCAAAGGCAAGCGTGCAATGCTGCAAATAACGGGCCCTCAGAGAGACGCCAAGGGTAACGAAGAGTCCGAGAAAAGGGCAGCGGAAATAGAGATAACCAAGGGACCCGATGCCGACCTGTGCTATGGACGAGGCCTTTGAATGCATGGAGCCACAACAGAGAATAGAGACTGTCAACGGAGAGGGGATTTTCTGTTGGTTTGCTATAGTGGCTGGCCACTTTGGATGCGAATGTTTCAGCAAGAAACTAACGGGTAGAGGAGCGGTTGTGGGTATTGTGCCATAAGAAGTAGCGTAAAACGAGGTCGTGATGATGAACTATTCTTATTAATGTCAGATCTGAGTAACTGATATAATGTCTACTTTGACTTCTTTGTTTAGCAGATCAAACATACATATTCATCCTATGTGGACTATTGTCGTCTGGCTTTAGTAGTCTAAATCAATATAAATAAATTCCTTCGACTCTGCCTATAATCATACCGAGGAACCCAGGGTGTTGGAATTGAAATCATTGATGGCTCATGAGACGTTTCGAGCAGCGGGTTGTTATTTCATTCAGGCATTAGACTGATTGTATGAGTTTAGTCCTTCAGCTATTCGTGTTGTTCTTCAAAGAAAACATATTCCACATCGGTGTTTCCTCCCTTAACCCAGCGCCCAATATTTAACAGAGAGATATTGACCTGGAATCAACCACGATCTTTCCTCCTTGAATTTTTCCATGACCATAGACTTAGTCTCTGTTTTAACAAAGACGACATCCGGTTCGATATCCCGCTTCACAGTTACCAATTTAAAAGGAGAGACGGGTGCATCCTTATCATCCAACTTGGTCTTCTTAGCCGAACGCTTGTGAAATATGCAAGCGATATCAGGCTGTCGCTTCTTGGGTATACTAGACGGAGTAGTAGTTAAGGTCGACTTGTTACCCGAGCTGCCGGCAGTGCTCTTGGTGGGACTGGAGTTGTTCGCCTGACGCTTGAGCTTTGTTATCTGCTGTTCGATCGCACATGCAGTGCAATCTGTCTGGATTAGCTTTGGTGTAAATATGGATTTATCCTAGGGTTCAAGGTACCGCTGCCCATGTGGGTGGCAAGTCGTTCGTAATCTAGCTTGAGTTTCCCACGCATCTGCTCCAATACACCGACAAAGAGCTTCATTTGTCAGTTGTGTCTGTCATAGATTGTGTATGTGTAGGTTCTGCTCGCTTACTTTGGCGTTGGCTTCGTTGGTCCAGTACATTGTCTGATGAGTTTGTGTGGTGAGAGGTAGAAGGTGTTGGTAATTAGCTTAGAAGATGAGATCATATGATAATTTTGGTGTGTTGGATAGGAATTGGATGGGGTAACAGCTCAAGTATAACAAGTATTACACCTCATGATAAAAATGTTGTCATCAGTGAATGCTCAGTGTTGTGAATGTTGGTCTGAGTGGTATGCAAAAGGCAAGGCTGGTCGCAGTAATGCTTTGGAGGGCCTAGTCGGGCATCTCTATACAGAAGATTTAACATACGAGAGGTAAGCATGCTGTAGATAGTCATGATATGCATATGGCACTTACGTCTTGGTGATATTTGCATGGATGGTGAGATGATAAGCATCAACAGTGCCTGGATGCCAATCATTGATGCCCCTTTCACCAGGCATACATTTGAACACGTTGACCCGATCAGGAAAGGCTCCTATTCTCGCGGTCGCTTACACCGCCTACTACTATAATTCGGGTATCTTGCAGAATACTCACCGCCTCTTAAAGCCCATTATGCCTTAGGCAAAAAGTGGGGGTCGAAATTACAGGCAGGAACACTGTGCTTCGGTAAGGATCCCTAGGCTACATATCCGCCTTGCTCATTTCCTCGACAGACAAAAGACTGAAATTAATTCAAACATACGAATTGAACATCCTGGCTAAGACTGCACCTGCTGCTATCCGCGACCGTGCGACCGCAGTCATGTGATTATTTCTATGATTACATGATGCTGGCAAAAGGTCTCAAAGCACGTGAGAAGCTGCAAAGGTCACTTGACCGTTTGTGAGCAGTTGAGAGAACCCATGTCCTTACACGTGACGGTAAGCACCACCATTACAAACAAGTAGAGTCTTTCGACCCTTTCGTTATACGTAGTCCATAAGAAGCTGAAGACCCTCATTAGCTAGGCAAGAAAAGAATATTTGATCTATGTGCCAATGCCGGTAGTTCCTTGATTAGCAAAACACCAGACATGGCAGCGACCTGAAAAATAGTATTGTTATTAGGTAGTATAACGTAACCCACGGTTATACTATATAAAAGTCTCTTTTAAAACACAATATATCTCAACTACTATGAGACTAGAAGACTCGGTATTATATAAAGAGGTAATAATCTCCTTTTTTCACGGGCTTAAGCCCCCAAGCTTCTAGAGTTGACAATATAGTTCTCTGCCAATATACTGGTCCGTTAATATGCGGAAAATCGCTAGAATTTCGAAATATTCAAACCCATTTTACTCTGTCTCGATATATAGACATAGTTATAACAATTGATAACGGCAGAATATCTAAGTGTTCGATCATCAAATCTCTATTTATATACCTACAGAGGGTATTTCAGCTTCGTCACTTAGTAACACGATATCTATTAGTCGCCTTGAGTAGCTGCAATACTGGTATCAGGCAGGTTGCCAAGTCTCTTTTCCTGTAGAATGCTAATTATGTTCCATCTAGTGCATCTTATCTAATACTGAATCTATCCGTTGTGGCACTGGATGATGTATAGGGCGTATCAGGTTGGCTCCTTGCTGACTGTCAAGAGTAAACTGTCCGAGAACCGTGGGACAGAATTCTAAAGAGCCTTCGCCAGAGAGCCACAATAGACACACGAGATAACCATATGCATTAAATTTTTTTTGAAGATCGGAAGAAGATTTGGACATTCATTCTTATACAGAGGATCTATCTACAAAGTTAGAGCTTCTAAACTGTATTGTTGGTTTAAAGAAAACATAAAAAAAAAAAAAAAAAAAAAAAAAAAAAATTCATCTTTTATATGGGATAGCAGGATGGCCTGTCTGACGTTGATAGTGCTGGGTCGGCAGGTGTTATCGCTTGAGTCTCCATGGTAAGGACCTTGTGGCAGATCCTGCAACTGGATGGCTCTGTGTTGCTGGAACGAGGAGATGATTGTGTCGGGCGACTTTAACTTCAGTACTGGCTAAGTGGCTGCTGTGATTCACAACCAGGATTTTCACCACTGTCTTACATTCCCGCTGAGTTATTTCTTCGATAAGGCGCAAGAAGAATGCTACCAATGAGGTGTCCTCTGTTAATGGATTATCTTCTGAATCCACAACTGTGCTCCTTTCGATTACCATGATTAGCTGAGTGAGGGACGACATAGCCTTTCCCAGCAGGCTTAGCCATTGCATCTGCTGCCCATCAGCTTGAGCCTGAGCGTAATATCCTGAGGCATCGCTCTCGGTCTGTGGGTGCTTGCTTAAATGAAAGATCTGACACGCGAGGCTCTTGAAGACATCCGTGGTAAATGCACCTTCGCTCGTGCCTTGATTGTCGGCTTGCAGCACCCAAGCAACCGGTTCCCGTTTTTGCCTTAGGCATGAAATTAGATTGACTAGTGTGGACCGGTCGGTGAATCGGGTTTTATAGTTCCCGTTGAGTAAGATCAAGTCGTTTCTATCGCTGTATTGCCAACGTCTGAATCGTGGACATAACCAGAAATGGCATGCATTCGTGAGTAGAAGTCTTTTGCAAGGTGTACGAATCCTGCAGGAACTCGCAACAATTCGCAATGATCTAAGATGCTCTGAACTGCCAGGCCCGCAGAGAATTTCAATGATCTCATCACGCTTTGGGGTGGCAAGTGATTGATTAGTGTTCATCGCCATGCCATAACTCGTTGCCCGGCTATTTGCCGTTTCTAAAGTTGGGAAATATCAGTTATTGATGCCCGAAAGCTACTATGTTGGGATCCTAACATACCTGTGAATGACATGCACGTGCTGTGCAGGATGCTCTTCCTGATATGTAAGTCATGACTTGGTGTATAATTAGTATTGGATTCATGCCGGGGGACACCACTGCTTGTAACTGATGTGACCTGAAGGAGTTCTCTAGTGTAAGCCGCTGCAACGGCCGCTGCGTATCTCTGCCAACTTTTATTCTTATGGGTATCTGCGTAGTCGCAGATTCCCCGGATTACCAAAGAGGGAAACGTGTTCATCAGGCCTGCAGCTTCCATCTCAACACATATGGCTCCAAATTTTCGCCCGAGCTGGTCCCTTAGGCAGGAGTCTTTGATGACCCTGTTGCCGGACGCAATCAAACCGTAATGAATCACGGGCTCATTACTAATTCGTTTAGGGCGCTTGACACTTCTTGATAAGTCACAATGAATGCAGGAACTCGCCCGTGACTTATGGATGTAGTCGGACAAAAATAAGTAATCCGATGACTGAGGGCGTGCATATCCGCTCTCCATGAAGGGATTTCTCCTGAACATCTCAGTTACTGAATGGCAAACTTTGCTTCCCTGCACCTCGTGTCTGGCTTGCAGTTTCGCCAAGGCTGAAAGCAAGGTCCGTGGCGGCCGATCCAGTGTCCCTGTATGTTCAAAATGTCCAGGATATGCTTTCCCGTAGTCGTACTGGACTACTCCGCCGTAGATACCTGTGGGACTGCTGACTACAATGTCGCCTAAACGTACGTCGTTTGTCTCATTGGGTATCCCGCCGCCAATCCCCACCATCAAGCCGAACCGAATGGCATGGAAACTGGACTTCAGCTGCGTAGCTACTGTCGCGGCTGATGCTATACCATACTCTCGGCTGGGTAAGCAAGTGATAACAACATTATGAAGGCCAATTTGGCCAAAGATGTATGTATTATGATCATTTGGTTGCACAGGCAGTTCTTCGTGGAGCACATCCAGCATTGCTGCGGCAGCGGCCATCTCCAACGGCAGAGCACAAATCCATCCGACTGTGTAATCATCATAAGACAGACGGGCCCTCTGCGCCATTCTGTTTCACCTCGTAACGGCACCTATGAACGGGTAGCAGCGGGGCATAAACTTTGTCGGAGTGGAAGAGAAAGAGATCAGAGGGAAACTGTTAGCAGCAGAATATACTCGGGCGAAACCCCCACTGAAAGAGCTTCTCCACGTGACTTAGGATGGTGGTGAGGCTGTGCTTGACAAGGCTGCCAGCAAACAGTGCGGGGGGAAATTGCGCCTTACACATATACCCTCTTCGGGGTTCATACGCTTCTTATATGACATCCTGCACACGAAACATCTCAGACATGGAAAGAAGAGTGCGTCTTTCTCCCTATGATGGATATACGCCGCCACAGGTGCGTTACACATCAAGCGGACCTCCATCAAGCATCGAGGACGACCCAAAAGGATTGGAGCCGCTGTCCGATCACCATCGGCTGTCAAGAGATAAGACATCTCAGAACAACAATGAGCCAGACACTGCACTCGTCTTGAAACAGCCCATAGCAACCAAAAGGCCAACCTCGACTCGCGGTGCTCCTGCCATGATATCACTTGACACCGATACCAGGTCCTGGAATTCTCCTATTACGTCAGATAGTGAAGAGTCCGATAGAGGCTACTATCGCTCCTTCGGGGTGAGCCGCAGGGCAAAATCGAAACCTTCACACAATGCGACCACCCGTCGGCACTCAGGAAGAGAAGCGATGTTGGAGGAACTTGAGTCACTCCGGCTTGAGAATGAGAGGCTAAGGGCTGGTTCTCAACCGTATTCAGATATTCCAGCGCCGTTGTCATACAGGCCACATGTATTCTACTGCATCGATGATGCAGATTTCTACTTGGATGAGCCGCGATGGGAAGGAGGCGGTGAAGCCCCCATCTTGTACTCGCGCAACCCCATCCGCAGCACCGATTATTACATTGACCAACATCCGGAGATCGCTTTCTGCTTTTGCAAGTATTATATTTCACAGCCGCCAGGGGATACATCCCTTTTAGAATCCAGCGACGGTGTATTCAAGCAGCCTCTTCCGGTGCGGCAGACGCTAAGACTTGTAGCAGCAGCTATGATTGATGCCGTTGAGCAGTTCGTTAGCCAGGTACCCGGTTTCTCTTCATTTTTTCCAGACTTTGATGCTGGAAACGATATCCAAGAACCATATCTGTTCATGTTCTACTCACTACCCCATGTGCAGGAGGCTAGATCCGGCTTGGATCCTCAAGCTCAAGGGCTCTTTGACCTCTTGTATGAGAGCATCGACGCTAGTCATGGTCTCGAGTATGCGAGCGTTACAAAGCAGGCTGCGCATGGTCGCACTTCTAGTCGCCTTATCCAGTATCTTATCCAACCAGGAGATGTGCTTGTGGATCTGGATGGCCCAAGAACCCAGGCCTACCTCGCCGTAGGTTGGGCCGAAACAGACAACCAAATGCGACGGAATTATGAAGAAGAGATTGTGGAATATAAAACATCGGGCCAAAATCAAACAGTTAGGAAAGGGGTAAAGAGGCCAATCAAGCGATTACAATACCACTTTAGGGTTCCAGTGACCTATTGGAGTTTTGATGGGAATTTCGAACGAACAAATGCTATTCTTTCCTTCGACCTTGAAGTTGGACACGAAAGTGAAACAGTGCCTATCACGTCACTTCGCTATATCCCCTTATCTCATCTCCCGTCTGACGTCCGAAAGACGCTGGAGCGCCGAGGGGAAACATTCTGGTCCATCCGCTTTAGAAGATACATTACCTATAGAATGCCTACTGGAGAGAATCTGGATATCGTGAGTGTTCTACCAACCAAAAATTAGAGAAAAGCAAAGCGGAACTGACAGCAAGGCAGACGGAGGATCGCTACTATGTCGATATTTCAACCTACAGAAAACTACATCCAGATAGGACTAGAAATCGCTCACATCTCCGAGCTGATCTCGGCACACGGGAAATGTCTCGTGATGAGCCTCCCCAAGGTCTATATCTGTTAATATTCCCGCCAACCATCGTGGGATATAATATGCTGCACAAGACATGGTGTACGCTATGCTCCAAAACCCGCAGGCGCGAACTGTCTACTGATTGTCGTTATTTCTAGCTGACCTTTACGTTGATTACATCTATGACATTGATTGGAACAAGCAGGCTTTCCAGGATCTCGTAGTGGACGAAGAAATCAAAGAATTAGTCCAAGCGTTGGTTACCAGGCAGATAGAGTCGCAGAAGTCCACGGATTCTATAAGTGGCAAGGGCAACGGCCTAATCCTACTTCTCCATGGCGCGCCAGGAACAGGAAAGACATTCACTGCGGAAGGTGTGGCTGAATTTGCAGAAAAGCCGCTGTTTCGAATCACCTGTGGGGACGTGGGCATTGAGGCTACGAATGTGGAAAAGTACCTTCGAGCGGCATTCCATCTTGCAAAGCTTTGGGACTGCGGTGGGTTCTGCGCCCGCCAAATATCTTTGCCTATTGCTGACTAGGAAACTAACCTCGGCATTATAGTTGTTCTTCTGGACGAAGCAGACGTTTTCCTGGAGGAGCGAGATGTCCGTGATCTCAATCGCAACGCTGTTGTCTCCGTATTCCTACGAGCGCTTGAATACCACGACGGGATCCTAATTCTAACCTCAAACCGGGTGGGAACATTTGACGAAGCATTTAAGTCTCGCATTCAGCTGTCTCTTCACTACGAGAACCTGACCCTGGGCCAGCGGCGAAAAATCTGGCGCAATTTTATGCATCGACTCCGAAAGGTAGACGCGGAGAATGTAGACATAGAAGATGTGCTGGATCACCTGGGTGAACTGGGCGCAGAAGATATCAACGGGCGTGAGATCCGAAATGCGATTACTATTGCCCGTCAACTGGCCCAGTTTAAGGAAGAAAAGTTCTGCTACTCCCATTTAACGCGTGTTCTACGGGTAAGTGGGAAGTTCGGCAAGTATCTAAAAGATCTGCGGGACGGGCTTACTGACGATTATATAAAACATGATACGGGAGTACGTCATTCATATCGGGTGAAGAGGGCCAACAGCATGTCATAAGAGCCGGATGCTGCGTAGTGGCATGCACTGAGCTCTTTCCGAATCATTAGAGTCTTTCATTTTGTCCTCTTTGATGTCCTTTAATATATTCAACCATCTACGCATATGGTACTTTAGCTGCTCTTCTAGTATTAAAATCCTGCAGTAACAATCGAACAAATAATTCTCTTTCAAAGACAATTCAAGAAATTACGTACTACATCCTAGAGTGGTTAACAGCCAGGCTAGGGTAGGTTAATGGGAAAATTTATACCTGCTGCCACGTCAATAGTAAGATATAAGACTATATTATATTCAACCGCGGAACATGTAAGAATAGGACAATTTATTATTTCTTTATTCTCAATATTTGTTCAATGGGTCAGCGAGGTAATGGCTGGACTTTATTCCTCCTCATCCTATATTTCACCCTCCAACGTGCCCATGTCATTGGTCACACAAGGAATTTGACTGGCGATAAATTTAGCAAGCTATACGAGGCTGGAGAGAATGGTAATGCTGGGCTGTTGCTGCCGCTCAGCCTCCAGATGAGACTTTCGGGCGGGATTAAGATCATCGGTCAACTCATGAGTGCCCGTTTGTTGGAAGGCTACTCCTTCAATGATGGTGAGTGAAATGAGTTGTAAAATAACAGGGATGATTTCATTCTGTTTGTATTAACATCCATGGAACCAAGCATGAAGAGAAATACAGGAAAACTGGAAAGAAAAAGCAAAAAGCCGATTCGTCACCAATAATCAGAACATCTCCGACGTGTTGACACAGACCTCCCCCTCCTTAAAACGTGTAGCTCGCATGATGATCCTTCTTTCGGCTGTGGTACTTTCCTTGGCCTCACCCCCTTTGTCCAGCACAACACTAGCCTTAGAAATAATAGCGGCCATGGACTTGTAGGGGGAATTTAGCTCGCTAGGCGCACTATCAGTGTACATGATAGTTGGCCGTACGACCAGAAGTATTTTACGACCCTCAAAGTCCCTCTCATCTACAATATCACCATTGCAGAGGTTAAAGATCATGTAGGAACTACCGCATTGGTACAACGGTCCTAGCTCCGACAATCGCTTCATCTTGAAGTGACCCCCCACCCCCGTTTCACAAAGCTTCATGAGACCTAGCGAAGCTTCAAAGATCTCAATAAGCTCTTTTCTCCGCTTAGCCACCTGATTCCGGCCCAGGCGCTTTTTCAGGAGTAGACCGATTGGCTCACTGGCCAGCATCTCATCAGCCAGGGATGGCGCGCAGGCTAGAAGACGCTTGGCATTGTCCCGCCCAAAGCTCAGGTCGCCTGGTGCTTTGACAGGGTCTGTTGAGTTGGCCAGTCGATGGGTTTGCTCTTTCCATAGCGTTGCGAGGTTTGGGTTGGCTGAACACATATCAGTCAGTCCCATCTACCAAATTCTGTGTTAAGGGACAACTCACTATCGAAGAACCGTTTGTAGAGGTACTGAAGCTTCGAGGCAAAGCGCTTGTCTTCGGCTTGATCCGTAGAACTTGTTTTCCCATCAAGATACTGAAACGAGTTTGAGAAAACATTTTCCATGATCGCCTTATGGATCAGGGCCTCAGCGAAGTGGTCTGCAAGACTCCGACGAGGTGGTAGCAATCCTTGGAGAACTGTCAAGTCTTCCTGGACACAATACCCCTCTAGGGCAGCAATGACAATGTTCATTTCTTTTCTTGATATTGTCCCAGCATCCGCCATCACCCAATTACCCATCCATCCAACAACACGCATGGCCAATTTGTAAAAACGTTCCCCAATCTCTTGGAAGCTAATCATCCATGTCCCACCACCCGCGTTGACGAAACGTTGGTATTCTTCGACCCCATGGGCGTATCCTTTCTTCCTTGAGAGGACTGCTAAATGCTCCGTTTCTGAAACATTGTCCTCCTCCTCTGACAGAGAGGCCGCAGGATTTGGGGCCTCGTCTGCGTTCGTGAGACATTCGGCTGGACCAGGTGGAGAGCTTTGCTCAGGGGAGCTTTTAAGGTTGGAGGACGAAGGCTGCGCTTGCGTTTGTTCCATGACTCTTGTGTGAGCTCTAGTACACACCATAGTATGCTTGTTAACGATGGATGAATTGTGGACACGAAATGAATCTGGGAAGGGAGAAGTGTTTTGAGGTCAAGTGAGGGAGAATCGTGGGGAGACACACTGAAGGGATAGGCTCTGGTAAATAACGGGAAGACAGGCCGCTTTTTTCTGGGGGGCTGAAAGGTGGCCCTGCAGTCATCCGCTCTTCATCCTTTACTCGTATCCTGCTAAATTTAGGGTTCAATGGCTGCTTATGATTTGTGAACCATTGCAGCTGCCCGGCCCGGATCCCGTCTCTCTTTATTGCTCCTCCCTAACCTTCCTCTCTCCTTTCATTGACCGTTTTGCAAGGTCCTGTCCAAGATTTTATGATTAGCCTTCATTAATTCTATATATCTCCCATTCAGCATTCATCTCTATTCACGTCATACCACGGAATTCCCTTCAATTGTCCTGTCTGCATCCCACCATAGTTGAAGACTCTTTCAAACTCGATCATCTTCGCCATGCAATCACCTTCAATGAAAAAAAAACTGATTGTTGGGGTTGATTTTGGAACGGAGAAAACCTGTAAGACCCTCTTCAAAATCACATATGATGAATATGCCTCTTTTAACGAATCACACATCGAATATAGGTGTGTCGTACGCTTTCTGGAACCAAAGGCGATCTAGCACGCCCGACATCATCAGGCCCTTGGTCATCGAACACAAGCATATTTTTCCAACCATGCTGGCATACCTTCAAGACAGGAGTGTAACATGGGGCCAAGATGCACGAAGCAGAAAGGATCCGGTCTTCAAGTGGCTCAAATTATTCCTCTACGACCCGGAGCACCCCATCCTACGCGAGACCCCAAATCCAGCATTGCCAGACGGTGTTTCATCCGAGCAGCTTGTTTCCGACTATCTTCGTCAACTCTATACAGAGATACAGAATCTGATTGTCTCTCCACGTCGGCCGAACTCGGGACCGATTTTTGGTTTAGCCAGCCAGCTAGCTGGTCTGCCGACAACCAGAGGGTTTTTGCCAAAGCAGTGCGAGACGCAGGCTTCGGGTCCAAAGAAGCTGACAACCTTTTTTTCCTTACCGAAGCAGAAGCTGCTGCTCTATATTCCATACATCAGAGGGGATCTGAAGCGGTCAGTGAAAAGCCTGCCAAACCCCACCACCCTAGTTTCTTTCCCCTCCACGTGGCCGATCAGCTAACTGGCGTTGACTCGTGAAGAAGGAAGATGACCGTATTCTAGTATGCGACGTCGGTGGAGGAACCACCGTAAGTGCCCGAGACCCTACGGGGATGTCATTGGCTATTTTCGTCGGCTACAAACTGACTCGACTGCCGGAAGGATGTCGGTGCTTTTCATATTCAGGGGACCGGGTCAAATACCGTGTACGAACCACTGGGAAGATCGTCAGGTATGTATCGTCTTTGAAGCCAGTTTGGCATTTCAAGGCAGTAGCTAACACTTTTCAGGGATTAATTCCGGCGTCGCAGCATTGGATGCTGCGATCCGTCAACACATGAAGGAGCTGCCCCCACACATCTTTGGGCTCGTTAGGCCGCTGAACGAGGCCCTCCTGGATAGAATATGTGACCCCAAGTACCGATTCCATGGCACTGAGGAGGATCCCATCCCGACTGATGAGACCGGCGTAACCACCGTTCCCCCAGATGTGCTGAAGAATTCCCTGAACTCCACGGTGGTCGCTATTATCAACCTGATAACGGCCAACATCGTTCCACCGCGCCCACTAGAGCCACCAGTCCCGGTATGCTTTCCTGCACCTACCAACTATCAATCAGTACAAGCTGACAGTCTTTTCACTAGGCTGTCTTCCTCACGGGTGGTGGGAGTCGGGTACCGTACTTGGTCGAGCAGATACGACAGAGATTGCAGCATACGGTTACCCTACATCGATTGGACACATACGAGCAAGTTTGAATATACCCATTGATGCCAGACTGTGAGCTAACTGTTATATAGGTCTGAATCAGTGTCCTGGGGAGCGACTTATCGAGGGATCCTCGGCAGGGCGATCTCCCGCCTGTATTTTGACGCAAGCTACGGTCTGCAAGCTGCGGAGGGGGCTATCATCCGTGACGGGAGCATCAACCGAGAGCAATCCTCCCCGCACTAGATAATTCGCAAGGTCTGTATCGACGTGCTTCATCTCGCCCGAGCAAGGTGATCTCAACCCAGACTGACACCTCCGTGAATGATTCTCCAGGACCACGCAGTTGAAAGTCAGCACCAGAATGAGCTTTTTTTCGACATTCATTATCGTGCTGGAAATGCGCCCATAACCATCATAAATCTCCTTCGACATAGAGCCGAGTTCCCTGATGCTAATAATGGTGGTGAGTATGTTGGGCTTTCGTTTTGCCCGTCTCTGAACATCGTATTTGGTCTGCGCGCGTCTCGCTAATATCGCAAATGAAACAACAGAATCCGAACGGATGCCACCACTCAGTTTCCACCTGCAGAAGTTGAACCTCTCTTGCCTGATGCGCGTAGGTAATGAGTACAGCGTGAAAGTGCAGATCACATGGGAAGTCAGATACTCGGAGAGACAGGCCATTGTTAGATTCACGGCCCGGTCGCAGAACGCACTACTTGGTAAGCAGGAAGTACTTCTGGATGGATGCCGTTTGGTAGAGTGAGTTTGCCTTTTTGTTTCCTCTCTTCTCTTTCCTCTCTTCTCTTTCCTCTCTTCTCTTTCCTCTCTTCTCTTTCCTCTCTTCTCTTTCCTCTCTTCTCTTTCCTCTCTTCTCTTTCCTCTCTTCTCTTTCCTCTCTTCTCTTTCCTCTCTCTCTCTTCATATCGCTCCTTCGGTGACCCTCCTTCTGATAATCCCCGGTTCCCCACTAATACGCATGCCGATCATTCCATCCTTTATATTTCGGGTTATTTCATTCCTCCAAGACTAGTAGCGTGCCCATAGACTGCCTGCAAACCCCATGTTCCTGTCGCGCTTGGTCATAGAGTACTTTGAATTTTAGCATACAAAAGTCCTTTTTATTACATGAGGTGAATGAATGTTTTAGCCTCATCGTCGTGAAACCACGTACTAGACCTCGCCGTAGATAGAAGACCATCAACAGCTCCATCAAAACAAATGACCATTCCTCCAGGTCCTCCAATCAGTCTACCTAATGATTTGTTTGACAATATACTTCCAGCCCCATCCCATATACACTGTCACCAAAGTCTACCCGCACCCTGACACGTCCACGATAAATCACAGCCTACCTACACCACCCGATTGAATTAGCCATACGAAACAATCATTTCATCTCTCGGGATCTAGACTACAAGGACCTGCTGGGCTAGTATATGTGACGGATCACCTGGCCCCGCTACACTCTAACCCTGACAGTATCTTGTGCCCGACACTGACGGGTAAACATTCCACAGCCGGTATTCAACCAGCACACCCGCCAATAATCATCCGTGAGCATTCATCCGACTCAGCCGGCTAGCCTCGTGAACCGAGGCAATGTAGGAAGTAAGTTAGTGTGCCTTGGTCTGATGATCGGGTTCCTTTGTTTCAGAAGGAAAGGGAAGGGAAGGGTTCAGTTGACCGAGGCCGAAGTTTATCCACTACCATACTTCCAGACAATTTTCGAACCGCATAGCAGCAGGAGCATCATAACTAACACTAGCATTAATCCTGTATGCTAGCATTAAATCTATCTTCTCATCTTTATTATTTCTACCCTCTTAATTCCATCGTTAAACAGAGAATCGCTTTTAAGAGAAACAGAACACCTATCCCGACATAGGCCAACCCCGTAATCCCGAAAGCCAAGAAAAGACTCAAAAATGGGCAGCCCTAAAAGCCATCCGCGAACCCGCACTAGACTAAAATAAAACCCGCGCGGCGCCCGCCCGGACGCAGATTGATTACCACCCCAGCAAATTAATCTATCGACGACAGACCCTGGTTTGCCCTGTGCTTGACTGATGCCTAGCCTCACCAGCCTAACTACCACCAAGGATGGTCGACACATAACGGTTCCTGCATATGATACCACAGGATTTGTCGCAGGATGAGACTGACTTACTACCGGCTCAGCCAACCATGTGATGCAAACTCGGGGTTTTCTGGGAGAAATTCTGGAAAGACTAGAATTAGTGGGGTTTCAGATGTGACTCCTTCTTCCTGTTCCTGTTCTTTGTCCCTAGTTTAACCTTAAAAGACTTTGTTATACTCTATACTAGACTAGATTAGACTACGGAGTAGAACAGATACACCCATGGACCCGGAAGAAACAGCCCTGGAATGGTGAAACCGACAGACTCCACACGGGGGTGATCAGTCGATCCAGTTCAATTCGGCATTCCCTAAACGGACCCAAAAATGATCAATCTTTGGTAAATAACTAATGTCGCAGAAAATACCACTGGTCCATGTATATAAACCAGCTTCAAGTCCAAAATTCTCCTCTCCAGCAAGTGCAGTGCACCGCCCATCTCATCCCATCCTCCCTCCCATCCTCATCCACCCAGTCAGTCACTCGTTGAGCAGCGCTCCATACATTCGTTATAAACAAACCAAAATGAAATCCTTCATCACCCTCTCCCTCCTCGCCACAGCCCTAGGCGCCCCCACCTCCACCCTCCAGGCCCGTCAATTCGACCTCTCCTCCTTGACCTCCGGCCTCTCCGCCCTGACCTCCGGCTCGGCAGCCAGCTCTTCCTCCGGCTCGACTGGAAGTACCGGCACTGGATCAGAAACGACCACCGGATCCAGCGGCCTCAGCGCTCTGGCCTCGCTGTTCCCGTCGTCATCCACTTCCAGCACTACGGGCAGTACCAGCGGTACTAGCGACAGCAGCAGCAGTGATGGCCTGAGCAGCCTGCTGAGCATGTTCTCCAGCAGTGGGAGCGGTATGATGTCCCCCCCTCCAAGAGTAATGAGTACATACAGTAAGCTAATGAAAAGAAAAGGCTCATCCACTGAGAACGGCGTGACCCAACACAGCGGCAGCTGCAAGAAACTCACCTTCATTTTCGCCCGCGGCACGACCGAGATCGGGAACATGGGAACCGTCGTCGGTCCGGAGGTCGCGAGCGAGTTGGCCTCCCTGACTGGGAATCAGGTCACTGTGCAGGGTGTGAATTATCCTGCTGATTGGGAGGTGAGCCCCATCCCATCCCATTCCCACTTCTTCCCTTCCCTACAGTGATACATAAAAGAAGAATAAGACGATGTTAATGACAATGATAATGGTACAGGGTAACGTCTCCCTCGGCTCCTCGGGCGGTCCTACCATGGCCTCGTACGTGAAGGAAGCGCTGCAGCAGTGCCCCAACACCAAGGTCGTGCTGGGAGGTTACTCGCAGGGTTCGATGGTGGTGCATTATGCCGCGAACCAGCTCAGCGCGGACCAGTTGTCTGGTGCGGTGTTGTTCGGTGATCCGTTAAAGATGGAGGGCGTGGGTAAGTTGTCGAGCAGTAAGGTCAAGGAGTTCTGTGCTAGTGGGGATCCTGTTTGCGAGAATGGTGTCAATGTCATGGCGCATTTGACTTATGGCAGTGATGCGAAGGAGGCAGCGCAGTTTTTGGTCCAGGCTGCGGGGGTTTCTTCTTCTTAGATAGCTTCTTGAGTTTGGGTTTGGGGTTGTTGGGATGGTATTATTACTTGTTTTGGATGGGGAATGGTTAGTCTGTTTGTGGTTGGGATGGTTGGGTATGGGTATGAATATGAAGATGGATTATTATAGTATCTAGAAATAGTGCTAAAAGCAGATATAAACTATCTATCTATCTATTTTTGAACACATCTAGAAAATCTTGTATCCACCCGGCATCAACACCTGCCACACACTGTGAGGATCATACTTCTGGGCAATCGTCTGCAACTTGGCCAGGTTCTCCTGTCCATATCCATCAAAGATATCCTGGAACCATGCCGCATCACCCATGTAGTTGAAGCTGTCATACAGACCCGCCTCCTGCGTGGCATTGTTGATCTTGTAGGTAGTCTCGACCACCCAGTCGCCAACAATCTCATCATACTCAGAACCAATCCACTCAACGACCTCAGCGTAGCACAGATACACCTGGTCCTTGTCCAGACCGAGAGCATTACCACCACGAGACTCCGAAGCCTCGAGCCACGAGGCACCAATAGGCTGCCAATCGAGCTCAATGATAGAGATATTGGCGGTGGGGATCTTCGCGTACAGGGAGGGGAGCTGGGCAGCGAAGGTGCTGTTGATGATGCTGATACCGCGGTAGAGGTCATCATAGGTGGTTGCCTTGATGGTACCGGCGACGAAGATGTCACTGCAATGTTTGTTAGTATACATGTAGCTAATAAGGTAGTTGGAATAAAGTGTGGAGGCGGATGTGGCGCGTACTTAATATGCGGTGTAACCAGCGCACCCGTCTCAGCCGCAAACTCCGCCAAGGTCTTGAATCCCAGGGTGCTGCTCACGGCCGGAATGTCGGTGAACGGCTTGAAGATCTCCGGATAGCTCTCCGTGGCGCTGTCGTAGAACATAATCACCGATCCGACGCTTGTGTTGCCCTCCGGCACGACGGCGGGGACGATGTGAGTCTTGGGGTCGGAGATGTTGGCCGCGTAGGTGGCGGATGCCTGTATACCATGTTAGCATGTATCCTCTCCACTGTAACAATAAGAGTTGAAATAAGGGGGAGAGAGTATACCTCCAAAAAGCGATCAATATACTCTGCCGAAACAGTGTAAGTTCCAGCCCAGACTTGAGTCGACGGGATAGTCTCCATGTCGAAGCGAGTCACCAGACCGAAGTTGCTGCTTCCACCCTTCAGCGCCCAGAAGAGATCGCTGTGGCTGGTGGCGTTGGCCTGAACGATGGTGCCGTTCGCAAGCACGACCTCGTAGTTGATGACGGTGTCACAGCCGAATCCGACCTGGTTGCCGTAGAAGTTAATGCCGCCGGCGAGCAGCAGGCCGGGGACACCGACGGGGCCGAGACGGCCTCCGGCTACGGCGAGGTCGTATGTTTCAAGGTAGTCGTAGACATCGGCCCATCTGTTGTCATTAGAATATTTTCAATATGGTTCGTTGAAAGCGGAGGAAATAGGTACCTGTAGGCCGGGCCAACCGAGACAACGGACTGATCATCGGACAGTTCAAGGGTCGTCAGGTTGGACATGACGATGAGGACACCCTTGTCGATGTTGTTCGATCCCTGTAATTCTATCAGCACTGCACATATTTTAGATCCGAATGTATGGTGACATACCCTGATTCCCATATGTCCACCACCACGCACAGCAAACTGCGCCTCAGCGTCTACCAGCGCCTTGACACCCTGGCTCAGTTCCTCAGCCGACTGGGGCCGGAACACGCATCCAGGCGACATAATCTCGGTGTTGGACCAGAAGTTCTGCGCCTCATACTGGTAAACAGTGGAGCTAGGCGCAAACACTGCGCTGGACAGAGACTTGTTGAGGGTCTTACAGCCAGCCGAGGTGGCCGTGGCGGCAGCCGTAGTGGCCGCCGCCGTCAAAGGGAGAAGGGAGGCGATGCGCATGGTGTATGCTACTTGACAATGGCACTGCGGAGAGAAGGAAACCAAAAGGAAGGGGAAGAGGGAGCTTTAACTGCGGCCCAGCCGGTGTGGAGAGCTAGCTAGGCTGGTAGCTGACGTGCCTGGCGGTAGTGGTGGTGGTGGAGATGCACCGGACAGCAGACTAGAAGCCCTTGGCAACGGGAGCCGGATAGCCGAGGAAGGAAGGATTCTTAGAAGAACGTGTCGTGCAGAATGGGGAGAGGGAGGGGATGGCTGGCCGCCACCGGGGAGGAACTGGAATTGGTGGTTCCTGACTGGGATCTGAGAAATTCGTCTCGGGCAAACTCCCGAGAGCAGACTAGTTGAGAGGGTAGTGGAGACATTAGTGGTGGTTTAGTGAGGGTTAGTGAGGCTTTAGTCCGCAACACTAGGAGAACTTTTCCACCGATGCTCCCGACAATCATTCCAGACCAGGCCAGATCGGATGAGAAGGTTTCCTCTTCACATTATGGATGTTTAACGGTCGCATTATGTCTATAACTCGTGTATACAAAGGAAACTAGAAAGAAATTATGCTCCAGCATGTCTGGTGTCGACCACGTTGAACTCCACTGTGCGGAGGATCCCGTCTTCCCCTTCACACGCTTTGGCCGGCAGGATGTGCTCCTCGCTTGCATTGTCGGCGCCCCCTTGCAATCGCGTCGAGTATTGCCGACTGTTGTTATTGAAGTCGGGCTGGTCGCGCGGAATTGAATTTAATGGATGGCCATACTTGCGTGATCCTGATTGGCCGTATGCGTAGGACGACAGGCCCAGCAGCTTGGGGAAGTACCGTCGCACAAACGGGCGCATGGCTGTCATGCAGCCAAAGGTGATTCCCAAATTTAATTCAATGGTGCACCATAAGAGGGCGTTGGTTGTGGCCCCTGATCTGTTAGCTGTGTTGATAGGGTAGGTGGATGAGCGACATACAAGTTAGGTCGGTGCTATTCATTAGAACGTATAGACTTGCCAGTCGGATGCAACTCACGATGCCGACCCTGTCATTGTCAGATCCCAAATCCTGCTAGAGTAAATTCCTCATCGAGACTTACGAGCAGCCCATCGCCAGCATAGACCCGACAGCGACCTTTTGTCGCGACGGCATCTGCAATCGCCGCAACCACGGACTATCCCTCGTCAGCATCTATATCATAAACCCCATGATGAGATGACGTACATCGGCACCAACACCGTCGCAAAATCAGTGAAAATGCCCAGTCCCGCATTGGCAAAATAAAACACCGGCCTGTTCATGCAGTTCGCCGGCAAGGTCAAGTCCCACGCTGCCGCGATCGGCGTACAGCTAAACACATTGGCCAGCACACTGGCCACATTGTAGCCCACCGCGATGAAAACGATCGACCACACGGCTAATCGGAAGCCATGACTGGGGAAGATGCGCAGATAGAATACGCAGACGGAGACTTTGGTGAACCCTGTCCCGGCGCAGTAGATGATGGCCGCGACGACGTTGAACTATAGGTAGGGTAAGCTTCATCGGGACCAGTCATCAGACAAACAAGGAGGAGTACCTTAAGAAACCAAGGGGTCAGGCGATCCAAGGGCACGTCCCACATATGCTTGCCCAAGCCAAAATCGAGCACTGTTGGTCAGCGGGGCCCGATACCGTTCATGGCTATCGATGGATCACTTACTCTTCAGAGTGACTCCGGTCATAACCGTCGAGAAGATCTGCTATGGAGTCAGCTACGTGTATCTAGTACACTGGGCCAAAAATCAGATCATCCATACCGCTGCGAAGATCATCAAGTCTAGTGTTCAGTTAGCTTTATTGTATGCAAACTTTGCCCTGCGCACCCCTCTGTCGTACTTACAGTCATCCCAGGATACACTGCGCACAACAACCACACGCGTCCAGGTGCGCACTATCAGCGCTATCAGCGCCATGGGAAGAAACACACAATTCACCACAACGAACTTGGCGCCGCAGTAGGGCGGATCGGTGAAGTTGGAAACCTGGCCAGGAGGCGGCTCCATGGCCGGGATAATGGTGCTATTCGCCATATTGCAAAGCAGAGCTACTCATGGTAGCGCAGCAATAGCAGTAGTAATAGCAGCAGCAGCAGCAGCAAAAGCAACAGCCCAGATCACTCCGGGGCCAGGACGGCGAGGGGAGCGGCTCAAATAACCCCAACAGCTCGACTCAAAATAGCACGGACTTATCCTGGTGGAGATACTGATTACTATATGTAGGGTGGCATTGCATTAGGGAGCTGAACTGAGCTGACCTCAAATCTGGGACGCGGTTTGAAGGTGCATTATCCCCGAACGACGGACGGAAACCTTAAAGTCTTAGGCAGGGCGATTGGCGGGTGTCTGGATTCGGTTTGACTTTTGGAGTCTGGCAGTCGCGCAATCCGGACGGAGAGGGTCGGAAAGGTGGAGGAGAAGAGGGGGAGAAGTTGTCTAGAGCAGGAAACAAGATTTGATCATCATTGAAGAAGTGGCTTCGATGCAGGGAATGATGATTCCAGTGTTGTTTAGTGTCCACATCCACCATTGAAAAGAAGCAATCATGATGCCTGTCTGGGAATGGCGGATGATCAGAATGGCGCGGAGCAACGTCTTAAACGAGTATAGTTAGCTGAATTGATCAGAGTTTCCATTATTTCCATTCTGAGTGATTGAGGGAGTGTGTGCGATCGGGATTTCATGACGCTCAGGCCCTCCAGGCACACGCTGGGCATCGTGCTTCATTCTATCCACTTCCTCGTGGATACTCCATACACATAGGTTTACACTTGCAGGGCCAGGTTCACCATGGCACTACTTGCTAGACTGGCAGTAGCATGTTCCCTCGGGGTGGAGTCGACCAGATAACCGAGGCGCGTAACCACTAACCAGAGTGATCGTCCATGATAGATAGGGGTTGGTTGGTTTGCCCCTAGCTGTACTACTCCCTCGCCACCTCTTTCAAAAGACACAGAATATAACAGAACACATTATTATTATTGTTATTATTATCATTATCAGTATTGTTTGACACCAGTCATTATGACAAGGAAGCAACTTAACAGACCCAGACCCATGGGTCTGGCACCCATCATCTCGGCAACCGAGCCAATGCCGGGGAGGGTTTTTTTGCCATCTGCCCCATCGAATACGAGACAAGTGCCCCGAACTAGTCAACAACTCAGTATAGCCCACGATTGATTTAGCTAGACCATTTCAATAGATATATTAATTGAAATTACAAAGTTGACTTCCTCGAATCATCATGATGATTATCTACTCCATAGCTTGCCACACGCACTAAACACTAGTTCCGCACCAACCAAGCAGTCAAGTGGATCGTATTCGGTTCCTCGGTTGAACAAAAAACTTTAACACTTATCCCTGAGTGATCCCTCTGGCGCGCACATGGATTGATTATCACCCTTCCCCTGTTGTTCCTGAAGAATTGATTTCAAATAGTGCGGGTGTGAATCTGTAGGATCAAAGATGGGGGGGCATTGAACTTACGTGGGCGATAGCTTCATATTGATTTGAACTGGGAAAATGGTCGCCCCTGTGGAGAGACTACTCGTACCTAATATAATAGACTTTGAAAGCACGGAAAAGGAAATCTGGTCCGGAATAGATAGTTCCCCAACTAGATAACCTCCACTAAACCGAACCCTACAAGTGTCTCTTCTGGATGACATTTCCGCGGCGATATCCGGTCTACCCTATCTAATTCTGCCCAGACCAGAGATACGGAGTGGACACTCGGCGGAGTGACTTCTGCGTCATCATCTTATTTCCAAATGCCGTAGTCTAATCACTATTTAGTATCTACTAAGCGAAGGACAAGATCATTATTCATAGTATCAACTACCGAGAAATGAATCTAAGACACTCCCACAAACCGTTTCATGGGCCCATACCGCCCCGTCACCTCGCGTAGGCCAGCGCCCCAAAGAAACAACGGCACCGCCAGCAATATACTCGCCCCCTGAATGGCTGTCATTTCTCCAAACACTTTCGCGGCGCCCTGTTTTGCGATCCAGTCCGCCGCATACAGCGACAACAACATTCCGATCGTATTTCGAATCACAAAAATAATCACCAGTGCTTCACCCGTGATCTGAAGCAGAGAAACGCCAAAATCGTTAGCATGTTTATGTTTATGGTCATGTTCATGTTCTCCCGCCAACCACGCACTATCCAACGCCACCATGCAAGGGGGTAAAACTCACCGGCTTATAACAATCCAACGAATACGTGACCGCCACATTAGAAATAGCTGCCACTCCAAATGCCTGCATGGCGTATCCTACCGCCGCCCCAGCCCAGTGTGTCTGATTCGCCACGCACAGTCCGAAGATGAGGATCCCCGCGGGTCCGATCGTGCCGGGGATGATGATGGCGGGGAGTCGGTACTCCGGGAGTCGTTGGCCTCCGCGTCGTCGGGTATAATATGTGGAGAGGATGTCGATGAGACGTCCACCGAGGTAGAAGGCTAGAAGGGCGCCGATGAAGCCGGAGAGGGAGAGGAGGCCGATACTGCCTGCGGGCCAGTTGTAGGGCGGGGCTGTGAAGGTGCGGGATGCGGTGAGTTGGACGACGATGTTCCTGTACTCATTAGCTTGGGCTTGGGGAAGAGGGCATACGGGAGGGAGCTTACCATCCTACTGAGATTCCGATGGTGAAGGACGACCATAGGAGTTGAGGGTACATCGCGTTACGGAGAATGTCCCAGACAGTTTGGAGGAATGATGCATCTGGGTTGTATCCCCGTGTGACGGAAAGCCAATCCCAGTATCTCGTCTTCTGGGACGTGGCATGTCGCCTGAGATAGGTTGTTTCGCGAACCGTGAAAATGGCGACCACGAAGACAGCTCCAACTGCTATAGCGAGGAAGTAACACATCCAACGCCAATTCTCATCCTGTACCAGGTATGCGTTAATGAGAGGACCGAGGAAAAGCCCACCGGTCAGAGCGAGATGAAAGATCATCAGGTAGTGGCCGCGTTCGTGGGGAGCGACCATATCGCTGACCACGGCTGGGACGGTGGCATCGGCTGCGGCTGCGGCGAAACCGGAGAGGATGCGTGAGGCGAGCAGCTCGCCGTAACTGGTGGCGCGAGATGACCAAACATTCATCATGGAGAGGAAGAGCATGGAGATGAGATAGACGGGACGTTTGCCGATGACGCGCATCAGTGGAACCCAGAAGATGTTGCCGACGCCGAAGAGGAAGACATTGAAGCAGACGAGCTCGCCGGCTTGGGTCTGGGAGACGTGGAATTCGGCGATGATGGCCTTGGTGGCGACGGTGAAGTTGCTGCTGTTGACATTGGCGAGGAAGGTGTAGAAGCAGATGGTCAGGTAAGTGGTGAGTTTGGCAGCGGTGGACCAGTTCTGAGATGTTAGCAAGTACACAGAGTGAGTTCGGCGTAGCAGAAGGCGATCACGATCGTACCTGGGGATCATTAGGAGCGGGAGTCATGGTTTCTTTTTCATTGGAGGGATCCGGGAGGCCATGTTCCTCCGCGGCGTGGTCGATATGGCCAAAGCTGGCTTTGTCGTCTTCCATGGTGGTGATGGTAGAAGGATAAAGCAAATAGGGGGATGGAGTACTTCACTGTAGTGCTGTAATAGCTGGCATAGGACCGGCAATTATGTAGGTCATCATCACAGGGTAGATCCTGCGGAGTAACTTGGATCCCTTGGAAGACCCGGTGTCGGGATATCCGAGAAGCCCTCGAATCTGCTGTAGCCCCAAGACCAACAAAACAACAGAATCCCCCCGGTCTGGCTTCGCTTGGGTCCCAGTTACCCCGCCTTTTGCTACCCCAGAATGAGCGAGCTTGGCCTCTTGGCTTGTCTCTGCAGTTCACTCTCGGATGACCCGAGAGGATGGTGAACGAAGCTAGGGTTTACCCAGTCACCGGGCAGCTCGTTTGGCAATTAGACTGACTGGCCACGACAATCTCGGGATTTGCGTGACATGAACTGGGATTCTTGCAGGTGGCGTGAAATCCTTGGAGGGACATCATCCATCTGGGCAACCTTAGACTGACATCCTATCATATATCAGGGTGAAGCAGACTGTTTGACAGTAGTAAATCACGATCTAGTTGCAGATTAAATGAGATATCCAATCACCGATCGGGGGAACTGCTGTTACACTCAACGGCACTGCCCGGATGTTGGACTAAACCCCGTTTCATTTATTCCTCAGGCATGAATAAGGCACCAAGGTCGTGTTGATACACCCAAGATACTTTGTCCATGCGCATAATGTCCTCAGGGGATAACTTGAGTCTACTCTCTATCATATTCAGCATTTAGAATATAGTGTATTTATTTGAGTTAGCAGATTTTAGTTAGCATCGTTGTATTGCATAACATACAACACGTAGACACTACCTCGGCTTCACCGCCGAATCCATCAGAACTGTCTAGATGAGTAACACTGAGTTAGATATATATTCAAGACATCTAGTTTGATTGACTCTTTCCATTGGTGCGTAGTCCTGGTAGTCATTACTGGAATTCTGTAGCGTTCACCCCGCATGACAAAGAAGAATGATATAGAGTCAAATTCAAGATTTATTTTCAATTGATCATAATGTTTCACCTCCAGTTACTAGCCTCCAGAGTGCTGACAAGTTGGTCTCCTGTACCTACATATGTAGGAAAGCAATCTTTGACTAGCTCCGACGTCATTTACTTCGAAATGCATGAGCTTTCGGTTGTCATCCCACGGTGGTATCAAGTAAATCGAGCTAATGTATAAACAACTAAAAATACTATCTAACAACAACAAAAAACGCTCGCAATCGTCTATCATACATAGTCATCAACTTCAGCAGCACAAGTCCGACCGCCTAGTTCGCGGCCTGCCATCCACAGCCTCCCTTTTCCAAACATAATACTCGCATAACGTCCGGCGCCGCCGAGTCCGTTCGTCCCCAGGCACCTCTTCCGCCTCCTCGATCTCCTTATCATGGCCACTATCCTTGTCGTGCACGATATGCCTCCATCCCTCAATGACCTCGTCCACCTCCGCCATATTTCCCACCCCGAGATTGTAGGGCCGATAGTCCGGGTCCCGCTTGAGCCGCTCAATCACGCTGTAGTGCAGCTTGGCCCCTTGTGGCAGCGGCCGTCGC